CACACACACACACACACACACACACACACACACACACACACACACACCACGAAATGGAATGGTACCAGAAAGGAATTTGGAATATCTAAAATGAAGAAAGTACATGAGAAATAATAGAAAATCTGAATAAACATAATAGGATATTCTCATCTTGAGTTTTTCAAAAACAAAGGAGACAATTAAAAATCAAATTCCATGTTCTAACAATTTTAACTGTATATTTATGTAACACATAAAACAGCCATAGCAAAACATTCAGGGAGGAAGGGTCTAATCTGTTGGTAAGAGTTAAACATTGCAATTGAGGTGGTAAATGTGATTCTAAGAATGCAGTGAAAGGTATATATTTTATATTTATATTAATCATGTATTATATATTTTCTAATTCTCAGAGAACCTACTCAAAATTTGACAAGATGTTATAGTCAGAAACAGATAAAATGAAATGGTAAATTTTTCAAAACATCTTAAAGAAGACAGGATAATTTAGAAAAAAATCAAGGACTTAACTGAAAATGTGATAAAATAAAACATTCAGATCATAAAATAAATTTAACCCATTAAAAATAACTGACCACAGAGAAGGACATTGCAGCCAGTCCTGAAGATACCTGATAAGCTATGGTCAGATGGAAGGGGAGGAGGACCTCTCCTATCAGTGGACTTGGAGAGGGGCATGGGAGGAGATGAAGGAGGGAGGTTGGGGTTGGGAGGGAATGAGGGAGGTGGCTATGGTTGGGATACAAAGTAAATAACCTGTGATTAATATAAAAATAAAAATTATTTAAAAATAACTGAAATAATGCATACTGTGGTTTGTTATCACAATGAGATCAAAGTAGAACCCAGTACAAAAAAAAATCGTAAAACCTTGAATCACTTGGAAAATAGCACCATTCTTTTTTTTTCTTTGTTGTTTTCAATATCTGGAGCTTACAGTTGGGGAATAATAATTTTCTAAGGAACAATCTATTGATTTATTACAACTTGGAAAACTTGAAAAAATATTATGCTGAGTTTATGTTGAGTTAATCCTGTCTCAGATGGACAGTCTCAAAAACAACCAAAAACCATGAAAAGAATAATATGAAAACATTCATGAAACTGTAGAAACCATCTTATGTCTTGATGTTGGTGAAGATTTTATATATCTGTATCTATGTATCTATATATCTGTATCTATGTATCTATCTTTCTAGCTCTTACAATCTTCCTGTTTCCATTTCTACAGTGAATCCTGAACCTTAGATATAGCTATAGTGTCGTAAATGTACCAATTAAGGCATACCATAGTCAGTTCTCTAAATTTTGACCTGCTGTGGTTTTCTGTATCTGCTTTTCTCTGCTTCTTTGATGAGGGCAGAAAGCTATGCTTTTCTGTTGGTGTAGGGTGTTTGAGCTAGGGTTTTCATTTCTGTGAAAGGACACCACAATCAAGGCAACTCTTATAAAGGCAAATATTTAATTGGGGCTAGATTACAGTTTCAGAAGTTTGGTCCATTATCATCATGGTAGGAAGCATGGCAACTTGCAGGCAGACATGGTGCTAGAGAAGGAACTGGGAGTTCTACATCTTGATCCAAAGGCAGCCAGGAGGAGAGTGGATTTACACAGGATCCAGAACATAGCAAACCTCAAAACTCACTCCTACAGTGACATACTTCCTCCAACAGGGCCACACTTCCTCCATAATGCCACATCTCCTAATAATGCCACTCTCTGTGGGCCAAGCATTTAAACACATGAGTCTATGGGAGTCAAACCTATTCAAACCACCATAAAGGGTATACTTTCAGAATGCAGCTAGGAATTATATTGGTTTAGGAAACTGGCAATAGTAGGTTCTCTTCTAGGGCCCACTAGCCATGCGTAGTGGCCAAGGTTAATAGTACCAGGCATGAATTCCCTTCTGTTGAATAGTCCTTGTGTCTAATTAGTCCTTATTGTACCTTGTGGTGGTTTGAATGAGACTGGCCCCCGTTGTCTCATAACTTTGAATGTTTGGTTCCCAGTTGGTAGACTGTTAGGAATGATTAGGGTATGTGGCTTTGGAGGAAGTATGCTTTGAGGTTTCAAAAGTCCCGGCAGTGTTTCTTTTTGCCTGCTGATCAGGATGTAAAGCTCTCAGCTACTTCTCCAGTGCCATGCCTATCTATTTTCCCACTATGATAATGGGCTAAGCCTCTGAAATTATAAGTAAGCCCCTAATTAAGTACTTTATTTTACAAGAGTTGCCTTGGTCGTGGTGTCCCTTCACAGCAATAGAATAATAACTAAGTTTCACCTTTAGGGATAGCTTGCTATGCTAGTCATTGTTTTGATTCATAGGAATTAAAGTTGTGTAGGAGCATTAGCTACAGTTTGCATATCACCTTATGGTACTATGAAAGTTAGTCCTCAAGGAAGAGAGTTTCAGGTCAAATCCAGCTTACATCCTGAGTCCTGTGTCAGAAGTGCATTGTATCTTCAGCAATGAAGACTTAAATTAATCAGCAATAGCCTAAGTTGTTTGTTCTTGAACTTCTTTGACAAACAGATTGAAAGGAAGTTTCTTGTGCCTGGTACTTGTTTGTTTGTTTTAGTCACATAGTGTATGGCTTTTGGGAACAGCATTATCAGCATAAGTGGCATAACTTCATTGAAATGGTATATGTTTATGTATGTATGCCTCCACATTTATATGTTATATGTAATTTTAACTAAATCCAACTAATATGATTCTCTATGGATATTGTAAACATCCATAGTGTTATTTATCCCCCTTTCCTCCCTTTTCTTCTATATCCTCTCCCTCCCTTTTCCCCAAATTAAATCCTTAACCCCATTTCATCCATTTTCCCCTATATATCACCTGTATTCTTCCATCCCCCTCTCTAGAGCTCTTTCTCCAACCGAGGAATGCTTTTTTTTTTTTTTTTTTGCTTTCATGGTTTCTATAGGTTATATAGTCATAGCTGAAGATTTGGAGTTAGGAATCACAGATGAGAGAAACGCAGAGTTTGTCTTTTTGGGTATTGGTTGCCTCCCTTGGTATAATTTATTCTAGTTTCACCTATTTACCTAAAAAGTTCATGATATCATTTTTTTTCCCTTTACCGCTGAGTGGTATTTCATTGTGTATTTATACCACATTCTCATTATTTATTTCATTACTTGAAGGGCATTTAAGGTGTTTCTGTTTTTTACCCATTATAAATAGGGCAGCTTTGAACATGGCTGAACAAATATCTGTGAAGTATGACATCGAGTCCTTGGGAATATGCCAAGGAATGGAATAGCTGAGTCATATTGTATGTCTACATCAAGCTTTCTAAGAATTCTCCACAATGATTTTAGAGGGCCTTGACTAGTTTTCTATCCTACCAACAGTAAATGATGGTTCCCTTTCCCCACATCCTTGCCAACATTTGTTGTCAGTTGTTTTCTTGATCTTGGCTATTCTGACTGGGATGAGATGTCCAATTCTGATAGTGCTTCAGTAGTCTGCTATATGTAAAGCAAAAGGGTTATTTATCTCCTTCACAGTAGAACTATTTGTCCCCCATCCCCCAAAGCCCAGAAGTATAGTTTTTATAAGGATAGCCTGAAATGTGGTCTTAACTGACACAATCGTATTGTCTCCAAATAAGAAATTATTTTTAATGTTTGGTAAGTTAAGGATTTGTGAATTGAATTCTTACCCTTTTAGAACTTTATGCGGAATTCTGTTCTGCTGTGTCTTTCACTGCCTGTGCAGTAATCAATATCTGGATTCCCATGGTGACTATATGTATGTGGCAGAAATTAAACCATTTTCTTTTTTATTACTTGTAGAGCAATTGTGTGTGTGTGTGTGTGTGTGTGTGTTTGTGTAAATCCCATAGTACATGTATGTGGTCAAAGAACAACCTATGAAAGTCATGTGTGTCTTAGGGACTGAATTCAGGTAATTAGGTGTGGCAGCAAAGCACCTTTAGGGCTGTATCACGTCAATGGCTATTATCAGTGGTAGGGCTAACCCATTTTGGATCTGAACAGAACCCTTCCACCCTGGAACCCTTTTGGAAGGGAGAGGAGTATTTATTGTTTGTGTTAGGAGAGCACGTTGCATTTTTTTCAAGATATCTTCTACTTTTTAGCAATCTAAGCTGTACTCCTTCATCCTACTTTATCCCTCCACTAGCTGACTGATTTTACTGACATCTGTCTGTATCCAGAGAGAGCTGGCTTGAAGAGCAGTTAGAGTGGCAGATATTTCTACAGAGAAATGTACTGAGTTACAACTAGGTTTTATAGCCAGTTTCAGCAAGCACTTCTAGTATTATAATCAACTTGAAAGGCCAGTCCTGGTTTGCTTTACTGCCTGCTCCTTCCTGCAACTGGTACCTGTAGGTGACTTATTGAGAGCTTGAAGAGCCCCAATCCAGTAGCTGATGTCAAGCCCCATTCAACTGCCCTCCCCTCCCCAATTTGAAAGAAATGATGAGCTGTAGATGTTGATGATTTATCCATTTATTAAAATATTTTAAGAAGCAATTACTGTGTTAATTTTGAGAACTGGTATTCCATTTTGTGAGGAGGTCTAAAAGGAATAGGCACACTTTGTGGATCTTTTCCTTCTGTGTTTTTTTCTGTTATTCCATGACTATTCCAGCTTCCTCCCCTGACCAGGCCCTGGCCCTGCTACTTATTTGCAGGGCCACTGAGAAAAGGCAGAACACAGAATATAAAACTACAATGCATTACAGAATAGCAGACAAATGCAACTCCATAAACCATAAAGCTAATCAATGTCCCTTATCCAATGGAAAGGTGTGAATGGGGTCTGATTTCTTTGGTAATAGTTTCCATCTGTTATACAACTAAAATTCTACTGTGTCCTGAGGGAAGATGGTGTGGACCTCAATTTGTTTCTTCTGGTCAACTTTTATTACATTGAAAATATTCTCTTAAGTTTTCCCTTTCCCTTTTTGGTGTAATAAAGGGCCTTAATGGATGCTTGTTGACCTCCTATAGTATTGATGCCACAAGTGGCAGCTTAATTCTATTAGATTTTTTCCTTCCCTACTCTTTTTCTGGCTAATTAATTAGCCACTCAATCAGTTCTGCAGACAATATTGCCAAAGACACAACCAAACCCCAGAGCTTTGATTCTTAATGATTTCTGTACATAACTGTGGTGAATATTTGGTGTCTTGTCCCACCACCTGAGCAACTGTATGACTTCAAATAGTTAACAATGAAATCCTGAAAGGAGCCCACGTTCTCAGGGCCTAAGGCAACTCCAGAGGGAGGGAGGAAAGGAGGGAGGGAAGGAGGAAGGGAGGGAGGGAAAGAGACAAAGAGAGAGATCCTTTCTTGCTTTGTAGATGTGCGAACCAGTTCTTAGCATTCCATCTTCCCTTTTCAGGAAACAATTGATAACTAGACAATTTAGTTGATATCTGGACCATTTCAATAAGCCATGTTTGCTTTTTTGCTTATCAGTTTTGGTCCACATTTGGTTCTAGTTCCCACCCTATGGGTGTCATTCAGGATCATTATGACTCAGGTGGGAGGACGGGGAAAATGAGTGGGAATTCAGATGGTACAACAGAGCAACAGCAGCATTACAGTATACAAAGACCTATAGTACATCAGCAAAATAAGCAGATATGAGGTCCTATTACAGTTGACAATCATTTGTGATGAAAATAATTACAAGACATAGCCCTGCTTAGTCACTACCAAGATAAGGCTACAGTTTCCTATATTTTCCATCTGTTTCCTTAAATTTGCTTATTTGTAAATGATCCATTTTGGAGAAGACTCTTCAGAGAAAATTTAACATGGTTCCCGACTATGTGAGTGAGTGAGTGTGTGTGTGTGTGTGCAATGCAGGTGTTAGTTCCTTCTGCCAAGGAGGAACAATGACCCTGGTGGTTTGATCTGTTGTCTCCTCCTGGGAAGAGAAAACCAGACACTGCAACAGCACACTCCACTCAAATACATACACAGTCAACACATGCACATTGTGATATTTAAGTTTTAAATGTTTGCCTGTCATATTTCCCATTGAATTTCTTCTCTAGTTATAGAGCTAGGACATTTTTGTTTGGCATAGCTATCAGACATTTTGGGACTACTCCATTGTTAGTCTCTTTTTCTTACCCTTGAAGAGGTGGAACACAGGCAGCTGGTTTAAGTGGGTTTGGCTGGTGGAGTTCTAGAAAGTTGAGAACCAGTGACCGGAGTCTGGATTGTGCACCTCAGTGAACCAGCCATTGGACTGAGTCAGATAATTGAGCACACTAAATTTGGCTGAGCAGTGAGAAGAGGGCAGTTTTCTGGATTTTTCTTGGTAAGTGGGAAGGGACACATTTGAAAAGATATGACTAGAGGGTGGAGACAAGAGGCAGGCCAGATACATTCTCTCTGAGCACTGGACTTTCATTAGATTTACCTAACTGACATTGGACACTTAAAAAATGGAGTAATTTATGCCTACAATGCTTTCATGAAAAACTTGAAAACAAAACAGTGGGGAAGCAGAGGCTTTTAGCCTTTGTTTTCCCAGATCCTTATTCTTTCTGGTCACTCTGACTGCCCCTCTTCTAATAATGGGGAAAGGAATCAAGATGTGAGATTTGAAGGTAATTTGAGGAATGGCCCAAAAGCCTATCCAATAACTGCAAGCCCAGATTAAGTTTATGGGGAAGAGCATGGGCTGTGGCTTGGTTATCAGGTAGATGCTAACTTAGAAGTTTAAAGGGTAGAGTTCTTTGTCATCTTTTCTTACTGGGGAAGAGGGCAATAAAGCCCAGGCAGTTGCTGATATAGAGCCAGGAGAAACAGAGCTAAATGGCAGCATGCCAGCTTGGCCCCTTCTGCAGGGCATTGGTGGCTTTGTTCCCTTTCTGTGGCCTGGCTCAGAATTTGAAGTGGATGTCAGAATTAGCAGGGCTATAAGTAGACCCCAGCTACTTTTAAGACACTAAAAAATGCACCAAAAGATTAGAAGTTCCACCAAGAACTAGGGCAGTTGGTAGAGTTTTATATATGTGAAATAGGGATGAGGAGGGATTCCTAGGTTATCACAATAAATTAGAGGGTCACTTAGAGGTCGAGTTGTATTTTCAGTTCTTAAAAATATATATATGTATATATATGTACATCTTTATGTCTCTATATATAATCTATACTGCAACACAGCAGCAAAACATTTAGTTAAAAAATCCAGCGAGAATGCAGGCAAGCACTCCATGGAGACGTGCAGGCTAGGATCAAGGCAGAAGTACAGGAGCCTGTATGGTTGCCATGAGGGGTGAGTTCCAACCAGTGGGCCCACCTAGCCATGAGAGCACCACCTGGACATGTGCAAAGACATACATGTACACATGGAAAAACACAGAGTTTATGGGGAGAGAGGGAGAAGTAGAAGAAAGTGGAAGAGAAGGAGAGAGAGAAGGGAAACAAAAGAGAGGAGGAAGATTAGGGAGGAAGAGAAGAAGAAAGGAGAGAAAATGAGACGAGAGAAGGGAGGTGAAAATGCAAGGAGAGAGAAAGTGGAGGAGAGGTGAGTCTTATATCTACAAGGAAAGATTCATATGGTCATTGTGACAGACAAGTGAACAAGCCCCCAGGACCTTGTTCTCATTTTCTTGAGGCAACTAGGAGTCATCTTTCAAAATTTCAATTTAGAGTTGGCAGGGATTGGAGGAGAAACACAACCAAGCCTGAATGCCCTGACCCCTATCATCTTTCTTAGAGTCATTCACTCATTTATTCCTTGATGTCTACAGTTTCTCTGCAAATGAAAGAAATTCATTGTAATACATCCTAAAGAGATGAACTCCTATAAATTCTTATAGATCCCAGGCCATTCATAAGGAGTTTGTCCCCAAGAAACACTATAGTTGCCCAAGGTACAGAAAGAGAAGGAGAACTGAACAAGACAACTCGGAACAAGAATCTTTGGCCAACAAGAAAAATGTAACCCTCTAAGGAGATCTGATTAAGTCTAGGGAAAATATATTAGTATAAGGATTTGGAGGGTCTTTCTTGGTGGTGCTCATGTTTGTTCTCAAATAATTTAGTTCAGCCTTTATTGAGGTTTTGAGAGTTCTTAGTAGAATTCTGTGTTGAGTTCTCCTTCCAGCTTTTAAGGACTACTGTTGAGAACTTGAAGGTGTTGGAGGGTCATCAGCTTTTGATTCATTGCCCCGATGTCTGCGACGCCAGAACTTGCCTTCAGAGAGAAAAAAATACAGAGAGAAATAATGAAGTGAGTACTTTGCCAGATGCCTAAATGGGTAAACCCTAGAGAATACAGAGTGGCTGGAGGCAGACTAGTTTGATCCTACTGTACCAACCATCTCTGCATCATAGAGAAAGCCATGGGAGACGATACAAACTAAATGTAAGTAGGATTAATTTGTAGAACCTGGTCATCTCTGCAACTACAATGGACTTAATCTGAGTCCACAAAAATACTTATAGAGATTTCTGAATGTAAGGTTCTTAAGGAATCAAACCAATTGGACCATACCCGGGGGGGGGAACATATATATATATATATATATATATATATATATATATATATATATATATATATATGTATTTAGAGCCAAAAGATTTTCTTTTGGCATTTGTAAAGTCTTTATTCGTTAAAACCAAAACAAACTGAGTTTCTGTCACCCCGTTTTCACATGTCTGCTAATGCTGTATCTTTGAAGCTTCCATGTTACCTAAAGCCTCAAATATAGGAGAGACCAGGGGCATCAGAATTGGGACAACTAAAAACTCTAGTAGAGTCTTCTTTTGAAACCCAATTCACATTTCAACAATACTTCAGACAAATTATAAGGAAGAATTGTATAAGAAACAAAATTTATATGGTATGAGTTTTATATATCCAGGGACTCTTTATCAGTGGGAGAAGGGATTTTGTGGGGCAAAATCTGTCCCCAACCTGTCCCCAACCGTTAGGAATGAGTCAGGCAGTGAAATAAACTGTCTGATGGTGCAGTTTCTTTTGTCCATACAGCCCTCATGGCACCATTCTTGCACCGGTTCTGCAGTTAACTAGTCCCCCTAACTTACTTGGCCTGACCTAATATTGGCTTCCTCCTGGATTCTCCCTATACAACATGCCCACGAACATTTCTGAGGATACTTTCAGGTCTCTTATGTGTCCAAGCTGCTTTTATGACTCCTATGACTATGGAATAGACTTACCAAGAAAACCAGGGAATTTTTGGCTGGATTTAGGCTTTCTTCCCTCTTCTCGTTTCTTCTTCCCTAACTTGGGAAATTTAATTTTAAACCTGTGGCTTAGGCTGTGAGTATCAGAAGAGTGTTCCTGGGAAAACACAGCAAGAGTAAGGTCAAAATGTTCATTAGTTGACAAACCAAAACAGTTCCTATAAGCTCTTTAAAGTGATGGACAAAGATGGTTACAGAAAGGTGGTTCAGGAGGAGAGTCACTCCTCCCTAGTCACATACCTTAATAAAGATATTGTGTTTTAGCAAGAGCTCACTCTATGCCATGTACCTTGCTAGGTATACTGAAAAACACTTCTTATACAATCCTCAAAACAATCTAGAAAAATGGCTACTACCATTCCTCGACTAGAAATGAAGGAAAGGCTCAGAGGTAGGGGAAAGCTATACAAGGGGAAGGGGAGAGGGAAGTGGAAACAAATAGAGCTGTACATTTTTTTAGTTTGTTGAAAATTTTTTTATTAATTACAATTTATTCACTTTTATCCCATAGCCCCTTCCCCTCCCCTCCGAATCCCACCCTCCCTCCCTCTTCTTCTCCTGTGCCCCTCCCCCAGTCCAATGATAGGGGAGGTCCTCCTCCTCTTCCATCTGACCCTAGTCTATCAGGTCTCATCAGGACTGGCTTTGGATTTTTTAAAAAGCAAAGGCTTAGAGGCTAAATATTTTGTGTGTGGTCTCATGGATTGTTGGGGTCACTGTTGCTCTTATTCCATTTCTTTATAAATTAGAAAAAATAATTAATACCTTTTCATACCTTTTCATGAGAGAGAGATGAAGAGGGAGGTAAATGAAGAGGGAAGAGAAGAGGAAGGGAAATGAAGAGGGAGGGAGATGAGTCCTTGTAATATAATCACCAAAGACATAAAAACTGGTAAACCTAATAAGACAGTGGTTCTCAACCCTCCTAATGCTGGGACCCTTTAGCATACTCCTCATGTTGTGGCAACCCCAACCATAATATTATTTTTGTTGCTATTTCATAATTGTAATTTTGCTACTGTTGTGAATCATAATGTAAACATCTGTGTTTTTCGATGGTCTTTGGGTATCAAGATTCCCAGGTTAAGAACCTCTGTTTTAAAACCTGAATTTGCTTAAGATTTTCCTTCTTAAATGTAGCCTTGTTGCTGCACTATTGTAATCATGCCTATGTAACTTGCTCACATGTATACCACTGGTGTTTGGAGTCAGAAGATAGCTATGAGGAGGTAGGCAAGGATTCTAAAATTTGAAGCGAATGCTTTAATGGGGAAAAAATTTTTGTGACAATTTCTGTCAGATCACAAAGGGAATATTTTACCTTGTTATAGGTAACTATCTTTGCGATTTGGTTTATAAAATCAATATGAAATATTCCAGTCTTAGAAAAGTATTCAAAGTAGTCCAAAATTGACAGAATTTCTGCAATTGTTGCAATTTTTGATTTTCCTTTTGTGCCATATATTGGCTGCAAGAGGCAATGGGCATAGGTAGCATGAAGAGATGTGTTTGGAAGATTTAACTATCTATATGGCCTTAGGTATCAAACATTTACAACAATTATCTGTAAAACACTGTTGTGGCTATGCCAGTATATACCAGATAAGGTTTAGTTCTAGCAGCAGATACCAAGCAGGAAGAGTTTGTAGCCTGGAAAAAGGAGAGATCTTCATTTTTTTCTTGCTTTAAAATGTGTCTTCTTTCTGGATCTTTTTCTATGGTCACTTACTTGTTCATGTTCACTGCTTTATTCTGTCCATTTATGAGACTATAGGGAGGAGGAGGATTCATTCATGCTGAAGCTAAAAGTTGTTCTGGGTTTCCGTTACACCCATCCCATGTACTCACCACATACTGGGAGACCTTAGACAAAGAAAAAATTCCTATCACCCAGGTCACGAACCTCTGGAAGAAGGATTTGATTCAACCAGTCAATTTCCAGTATCTTTTTCAACTGCGTATTCATGGCATCCAGGGCATCTTGTAGTACAGCCTCATCTTCAGCATCTCTCAACTGCCACAGACAGGGAGAATAGTAAGTGGACATTCCCTAGCACTGCCTTAGACTCTACTCTGAATCCATGCTAGTGGCTAAGGCATCATAAATGTAACAGTGTAGCCCATTTTGGCCAAGACAGTTTGTAAGGGTGACAAACTGTAGCTCATCTGGCTTATAATCAGATCTTTTACTTCTCAAAAGCAGTATTAGCTTTAGACAACTCTCTTCTTTCTCAAAGGATACCTTGTAAACCAAAGTAATAAGGCTGTCTCAACTTTTTTCTTCCTGGAAGAGGGTCTGCCTCTATAGGTTGTGCTGTAGCTCCTAGTTATTTGTTCTTCATGATTAGGAGACATGTTTTCAGATGGCTTGTTCTAAATGTTTAGAAAACCAAATTTAAGTAGTTGCTGCAAACCAATCAGAACACACAAGATAAACCCTGTGTGGTGCATGGGAGACTTACAATAGATTCTTTTTAGACTGTCTCCAAATTCTAAATACACAATATAGATGAGACCATTCATAGTCTAATAGGTAACGACTTGGGCACATGGAAGCACACTGATATATGTAGACCCTAAAGGCACACAGATATCTAACCTGGACTCACCACTCATCCCTACCATGTACCCCACTTTCAGTTTGGCATTCCTGTGGCCTTTTTCTATTTAGGGACCCTTGATTGCAGTAGCTGGTGTCAGAAATGTGTGGCAATCGCATGGGCAGGGAATGGGATGGGAGGTTATGGCCTATCAGAACATGATACAAGAAAGAAACAAATCAACACCAACAAAGAATTTGTCCTGCTTGATTTGTGCAACTTAAGACAATATAGCATGGCTCAGTTGCAGTGCCAAGTGCATGCCAAATAAGGGAAGTGGGAATTCCTGAATGGGATTAACTTCACCTTTTAAAAAGCTATATCCCTATTCCAGTTGACCTAGAATGTCTCCCAAATGTCCATCTGTTATAGGCTTAGTCCTCAGACCGGTATCATTGGGAGGTAGTGGAACATTTACGAGGTGTAACCTAGTCAGAAGTATCCTTGTCACTGAGGCCAGGCCTTTGAGAAGAATAATGGGCCTTTAGCTACCCTCCTTGTCATTTGCAGCCATGAGACAAGCAACATTAGTCTGCTACATGATTGTCACCATGATGTTGTCTTGCCATAGTCTGAAAGCAAAGGAGAAAATAATTGTGGACTGAGCCCCCAAAGCTATGAGGCAAAACAAAGCTTTCGCTTTGTAAGTTAGTTATCTTGGTGTTCATTACAGTAATGGAAAGTTAATACACCTGCTTGCCAAAACTACACTTTTTACTGACATACTTCCTCAAGAGGAATAATTTCCAAATGAAGCATAACTGTAGCTATCTTATCTCGGTGACAGCCTTTCTGCAGCTACATGGTCATTTCTCATGTGCTTTGTGCCTTCTAGCCTCATTCTGATGTGTACACATGTGTGGAGTCTCACAGATCCTACAAAAAGAAAGCTTTCTTAAAGTCCTACTTCATGGTAGGGTATATTTAAATTGAGCTGTCGCCTAGCATGGCCCAGATTTCAAGCTATGAGCTTCAAGAAAACCCGAGTAGCAATAAGAGGAAACCATATTTACTGATGGTCATGCTGAGAATGACATTGTGTTAAGAATTCCAACTGAAAATGTCCAAAGTTAAAAAAAAAAAAAAAAACTTAGGCATTGGGCCCAGATAATGGAATGATGTGGTCTGAGTGCTTTAGCCATTCTGTTCTGAGGCAGTATGACAATTAGAAATGTAAATAAAGAAATAGTGAGCGTTCTGGCAAATTCAACTCAGAAGTCCTTTTTTCAAATTAAACTTTCATCGGATCAAAAGCAACCACTACACCTTCCTCAGGGACAACATCAAAGGTGGATAGTTATGAGAGGTTGTCTTATTGGAGTGCAATCACCTTGTGCCCATGCATAGACATTACATGATGAGAAACATGTAACTGATGTAATCCTCAGGATCATGCTCTGTCTTCCCTGGCACTTTTAAAGCTCATCTTTTGAACCACAACTATGTAACATGTACTGCCAGGTACTCAAGTTTGTTACAATAGTTTGTTGTATACAATAGTTTGTGTATATACTCAAAACAAAGTATAGTAAGGGTTACGATCCCTACCCTGAAGATAGGGGAACTAAATGCAAAGAGGTGCACTTACATGGTTAGTGTTGTTAGTTGTGTTGCATTCCCCTCCACAAATATGTTTAAAGTCTCCACCACTTTAGAATGTGCCCTTATGTGAAATTATAGTCACTGCATTTGTTATTCACTGTTAATTTGAGGTCATATGAGATAGGGCAGGCCTTAATCCATTACTATCAAAGGCCCTGTCAGAATATGGCCATGTGAAGACAGAGATGTTAAAGATGGCAATCAAGATTAGAGTGATGCATTTACAAGGCAAGAATCAACAATAACAACACAATGCCAGAAGATGAGCAGAAGCTAGGAAAAGGCAAATAAAGTTTTACCTAGGGTTTTTAGAGCAATCATAGACCTGGTGATATTTGGATTTGAATATTGGAGTTTCCACAATGATGAGATAGTAACATTCTGTTATTTAAAATCATATAATACTTGGTACTTAGTCATGGCAGCCTTAGGAAATTAATACATAGAATAGGTAGCTAACTTGGATTTGAGCTCAGAGTCTTCCAAACTTCCCTTTATTTCCTGTTAAATTCTTTATAGAGAAGATGACATTTAGAAACTTTTGAGATAAGAGCATCTCTTAAGACCTCTCTCATTTCACTTGTAGCTGTATCAAGTAAAATGAGAACACCTTGCATTTGGTTGGCCTAGTCTTGACCCAGTAGACACTGACTGAAGATAGAAAGACTTTCATCCAAAATATGGTAGTCCCTATAGAATAGGATAACACATACAGTAGCAAATTCAGGTGACAAATTCTAGATGACAGCAAGAATCATCAGGCAAGCCCCTACTTAAAATGATCACACATCACTAGTACCCTGGACGGAAATACAGGCTGTAGCCATATTCAAAAGAGATATGTTCCCTCCCATACTCCAACCCCCCTGCACTCACCAAGTTTTCATCCAGGAAAGCTTTGGTGTCACCGTAGAGCCCTTTAAGACTAAATGTAACATCTACTGCATCAGTTCTGGTTAGAGTCTGAGAGGAGAAGAAAGGAAAAGAACGGAGGGGAAAGGACAAGGTAAAGGAGCTGGTTAGTAAGCATGCAGCTGGCTTCTCCATGGGAAGGTAGGAACAGACTAGTAGGATATGGCTGTAGATGGAAAATAATAGTAAAAATACAGCACAGATGGCGCAGAATGAGCACCAGCCAATCAGAATCGACGTCAACTGTCAACTGATATAACTCTATTGGTGTGCCCTGCAAAGGGGTGCAATACATTGGTATCATTGATTGGGTATAGTAGGTAAAAGGAAGCTAGGGCATTTACAAACCAGAGGGTAAATTTCAGGAGTCTTATCCCTATGGTAAAACTACATTTCCCATGGTGGGTAGAAATAGGCCTAACTATATATATCTTCTTGAAACCCATGGCCTTTAGACCTCCTTCAACTAGGATCTGGTCTAAAATAAAGTTAACTCACATTTGCACATATCCTGTGTCCACTGTATTTTTACCCATTACTGAAGTTCTCTCTCCTCTCCTTCCTTTACCTTCTTCTCCCTCTTTTCCCTTCATCACCCTTCCTCCTGCTCTGTGCCTTCCTCTCCTCCTCCTTTCTCCCCATCTCTCCTGTGTATACATGCAGTAATGAACACGTACATGTCTATGAGTATGTGCAAGCACCTGTGTGCCTGTGTGTGCATGAATATATTTATGTCTGTTGGGGGTCATAACCAAGGCTTCATGCAGGATAGGAAAGTTCTCTGTCACTAATCTACATTCCCAAATCTAAGGTTACATTTTAAAAGCACCACTCAGATCTTCTGGCAGTGAGCATTGGCATCTGATGACACATTTAATATTAAATGTCAGATCTGTAACTGTCAAGAGGGAAATAAAGGCATCTTGGATCTCTGGTTCTGGTAACAGGTATAGCCTTATACAATAATTCAGGGCACAATTGGAATGAGGAAGGTCCAAGACTTCTTTCCATTTATTAACTATTTTGCTCTGAGGCCGATGTGGTGGCTAGCTAGCAGGAACAAACAGTGCTTCTCAGGATGATGAAATATGTCATGGCATTTCCCCCAGCAGCCACCTTTGCCTTATAATCTATGGAATGGCTGCATTCCTATCCACTTTATTGCTTTATTTTTCAGTTTTTGTGTGGTTATATGTGTATAAAAATATCCATGTGTGTAAGGATCTCTCTCTCTCTCTCTCTCTCTCTCTCTCTCTCTCTCTCTGTGTGTGTGTGTGTGTGTGTGTGCCTGGAGAGGCCAGAGATGAATGTGAGGTGTCTTTGTCAATTGCTATCCACCTCATAATTTTTGAGACAGGTTGGTCTGGAACTCACTGATTTGGCCAAATTAGCTGGCTAGAAAGCCTCCAAGATCCTTCTATTTCTGCTGTCCAGTACTGAGATTAAAATTTATGCTGCCATGCTTAACTGTTAATGTGGGTACTGAGGATATAAACTGTCATTCATGCTTGTATGGCAAGCATTCTCCTACTAATCCATGGACCCAATCCATCTACCTACCAGTTTTCTACCCTATCACTTACATACATTTCTTATTCAATTTTTGATTCCCTTTCTTTATGACCCACTTTCCTATAATTTTTGGCTGTTTTATTTCATTTGCTCATTTCCCCACTTACCTCAACGGGAGTACAGAAAGCTGCACCTGCTTCATTGCCACTGTCTTGGCTATAGAACACATCATTCAGTATGTTAGCACTGGCGTTCACAGAATCCATGAGGACAGACACATGCTGGTGGACCTTACTTAGGTCATTAAGTCTATAATAAACCAAAGACAGAGAGGTGAGTTTATTGTGGATTTATAATATTATGGATTTATAATGAGAGGCATTTGTAGTTTGGGATAAGGATAGAAATGAAAACCCTGGGTACTGGATATGAACTCTTTATCCCCTCTTGCAATTTCTGTTCTGCACTAGGTATCCAGTGATACTGGAAAATGTTTTTATTCTTCTTTAAGTATTTACCTTTGTTCATCTTTGTTTAACTTGAATTTAGAGAGTGGGAACTTGAATAGGGTGACAGACTGAAACAGAGGAGCATAGAAAACTCTTGCTGAAATTTCAAGGTCTTTCTGATAGTTAAGGGCAGGAATAAACATTCTTTTAAGTTATTTATTTATTTATGTGTGTGCATGTTCAATACACTCCAGTTTGTGTGTGTGTGTGTGTGTGTGTGTGTGTGTGTGTGTGTGTGTGTGT